AAGATTAGGCTAGAAACAACACCAGAATGTTTCCTTCCAGCCTTCCTTATGGGATTAGCCCTGTAAAGTGGGAAAAAACAAAAGATTTCTTCCAAAAACCGGTTCTCTGAACTGGTTAGAAAGTTAGAAAGTTACCAACTGCTTCTCCCGAATAGGTGTGAACTGGCTGAATACCGCGTGAATCAACTGAGAAGATAAAGGCAGGAAAATAGGATGGCGGGCGGATGGGCGAACCAGTTCGTCCAAACCCATCCAAACTGGCTGAATCCCACCTCTGGTGTGAACCCTACAGTTCATTATAGTTATGATATTGCCTAGTTGGGTAATGAAACGTCTGCAAGAAAACTGCCAAGCTCAGAGAGCACCAAGGACCCCACAATCTTCCTCCTCCTCTATCACTATCACCCATAACAACAACAACACTCCTCCAACCCCATTCCTTTCTAGCACTGATGACGTTATCTAGCTGGGTAATGAAATGTCTGCAAGAAAACCACCAAACTCCGAGAGCACCAAGGATCTCATAGTTCTCCTCTTTCTCCACTCTACGCACCCCACTCCTTTCTAGCACCGATGATGTTACCTAGTTGGGTAATGAAACGCCTTCAAGAGACCACCAAGGACCCCACAGTTGAACCCTGAGCTATAAATATTCTCGTCTATAGTGTGGGAAATACCTGTGTATCCCTGAACATTCAATGCATAGTAAGATGCCCAAGTTGATGCTCGCCCACCGGGGATCGGCCTGCCCGCAGTCACAACACTGGTCGTTGCCCGAGATACTCTGCACCCTCTGCAGGATCGTTTCCCCTTTCCCACTTCGGTCCCGGGAATCGGAGGCGGAATCGATACTGCTGGTCGAAGGGGAAGCTGTTCGATCCAATTTCTGGAGTAAGAGAAAAGCCAAAGATTGAAATATCAAGCAAAGATACGGCTTGTCAGGCATCCCTCAAGGGGGTTTATTTGCTTTTTGATTTCTCTTAATTACAACCAAAAAATATTTTGGTGTCATTTTCAAGGATAATCTGGAAGCTGATTGGATAAAAATGCCTCCCGTCGTTCTGAAAAAACAAAGGATGACCCATATCTGTTTTCTAATTTATAGGAAGATTTTATGAGTATGTGTCAGAGTGCGCACAGTGTGACTATGTGAGACAACCAGGAACAAATACAGTAAAGAGGTTTGTATTTGAATTGTGGTTTTGTCTACAAAGAATATATACATACATGTACATTACCCAGACCTCAAACAATCAGCAATTACAGCACTGGCCTCTTCTTATTACAGGCTCTTAAAGTGATATCGGCCCAAAAACCTTGCTGACTCATTCCCAGCATTACATCATCGTAGGAGCTGGTCAACTCTTAAATCATGACCCTGACAGTATGTCTATGACAAATTTATGGGTATGACTCCTACTAGCCTTCTGGCTGACCACTCTACTCACTTCAATGTAGCAGCTATCTGGGCTTTCCCGATAAGCAGAAGCTATACTCGCTTGGACAGCCTGGATCCACGCTTGGCGGAGTTTCTCTGAATCGGCTTGTAACATGCAGCTCCTGCAGTGGGGAAAACGAGAAGAAGCTGCTTACCAGGAGAAACAGAATCAAAGTCTGGTCCAGTGAGGTTCTTGTTCTGATTGGGCTTCCCAAGAGCCTGAAGCAAACTCCGTGTCCCAACAAAAACCCCTTTTATTAATGTACTGTGAATTCTGCTCATTCACATCCAGCCAAGTCTTTTCAAGGGAGGATTTATGGTCACAGACCTTATCTNGAAAACCCTCCCCTTGCCATAGAGTCTTCTCCTGGCGCACTGTGCTTCTCTCTCCCCACCCTCCCCCCCACCGGAAGCTCCTCTCAAAATTGTGGCGCCAACCAGTGAGGGAGCCGCAGCAGAGGGAGGAAAGAGCCACATGCAGCTCCAGAGCCGCAGTTTGCTGACCCCTGCCCTAAACTGACTGCACAATGCTAACCAACACCAACCACTACTGTTGTGGTGACGCCGTGATGCCAATGCTACGGCGTTTTGTTTAAATGACCCGATTGAGGCTGTTCTTTTGAATTGGTCTCAAGTCATTCAATGAACCTCCACCGCTAAGCTGGGGCAACCGTTGTTCAACCCCGAAACGATAAACTAAACCATCATCTGACCAAAGGCAGAACAGGACAAAGAATATGAGGTGTTTTCGACCCCAAAAAAATAAGTCCCACAAGCCAAACCAACAGAGAACAGTTAACTTGGTACTCACCTGTAGAAGAGTCTGGGTGGGAACATTGAAGAGGAGGGAAGGGGGGGAAAAAGAAGAAAATAAATCAGCGTTATTGGAAACTGCTTGTCTGTTTAAAATAAAAAAAAGACAAGGACGCAAAGGTGAATATTTAGGCCCAAACCTTGTGGACTTCAATGCCCAGAATTCCCCAGCCAGCCATGCAAGGAGAATTCTGGGAGTTGAAGTCCACAGGTCTTAAAGTTGTCAAGCTTGGTATAGAGTACTGACTAGGGTATGTAGAAAAACAGCAAACTTTTATTATATCATTTAGGGTGGGGATTTTTGTCCATTTCTTCACCCCAAGTATTAGATCCCTTGTTTAAAAGGGAATTCTAATCCAGAGAGAACTTCTAGTTCAGGAGAGATAGCATCCAAAAATAAATCAGAGTTCGAGGCAAAGTATTGTTCAAAGTTCCAATTTATGAAGAGTGCCATGTTGGCACAGCTGGGAAAAGCCGAATCTGAAGGCTTCCTGTTTTCCCACCCAGTTGAAAGTTCAAGATCTTGCCCCCCACACCCACAAGTCCATCACATAGTCCAATCTCCCAATGCCATACTGGCAGCTTCCACCCATCCAGTTCTGGCCAGGTGCAAAGACAAAGGATGACCTTGGCTTTCTACAAGGAATGTTATTATGGCTACATAGCATCTAACTCCGTACCATCCCATTTTCCCACAATAGAAAATGGATAGTAGAATAAATAGAAAGTGTGGCAGGCCTGAGATCCAAAAGAAAAGATGGCTGCAGGCCTAACACCGATTTTCCTACCCAAGCATGATCCGATCTCTCTAATCAGATGCCTGGGCCTGAGACAAGAGGAGCCAAGCAGAGTTTTTATGTCATGCTTGGCTGCATTTCTTTGAGGCACCGGGCTGATTATTCTTGAAAGCAGGATGCTGCATCTCCACACTCACCCGTTGCTGAATAAGGGCGTGTTTATGCTCCATTTCCCTCTTCTCCACAGCCGAGTCGATCACCAACTGGTCCAGCTTCAAGGGGGGGAATGAGAAGAGACGTTAAGGCAAAGGCCACAGGCTGATTTTCTGCGCTCTCAATTTCCCTCTCTGAGGCCAAGAGGGGACTATCTTTTACCCCAATGGCCACATGAGACCACATGGTGGGGAAGGCTAAAAGTCACATAGGTAGGGGCTGGCCCAAAGCATACCCTCTCTCCCTCTCTCTGTGTGTCTTCATGCAGTAGAGTGTAGGGAAAGAAGAAGGAAGGAAGGAAGGAAGGAAGGAAGGAAGGAAGGAAGGAAGGAAGGAAAGGAAAGGAAAATTGGGCCAAGACAACTCGTAGGGAAGGAAGGAAGGAAGGACAGAAGGAAGGAAGGAAGGAAGGAAGGAAAGCCACTCCCACAAAGGAGGCCACTCCCACAGAGTAGGTTCNGGATAAGATAGATAGATGGATGGATGGAGAATTGTGTCACACAAGAATTGTGTGAAGCGCCCCTATTGTGAGTCTTTTTTTCCTACTGTGTCATTAAATCACACGCACTAAACACCCCATTTTCCAGCCGTTTCCACTGCCTTTATTTTCAAGTTTGAATTTATATAACAGTCTAGCATAGAGAAGGGTGGGTTTTTTTTCCTTCTCCCCCCCAACAATATTGGACAATTGTTTCTATGGAAACCTCAAATGCCAATGCAAAGAGATAGCAAATTCTAAGAGAGTGAACAGAGGAGGGCGATGATACAAAATTTAAGGAGAGGAGGTTCCTCTCCCACCAAAAGTGGTTCCTATTTTTCTACTTGCATTTTTTTACGTGCTTTCGGACTGCTAGGTTGGCAGAAGCTGGGACAAGTCATGGGAGCTCCCTCCGTTACGCGGCGCTAGGGATTCGAACCACTGAACTACCACCATTTCTGATCGACAAGATCAACGTCTTAGCCACTGAGCCATCGCGTCCCTTGACATAATACACCATCCTTTTGACTTCTCCTGCAGGGATAATCAAAGGCAGACCAGCTCACACCCAACATGGGGAAATGGGAGGAACTGGGGAGGCCCAGTGCCTTAAGCAAGCAAAGGTGGCATCCAGAAGAAACCTTGGCTTGGTGGGACTAGGTCTCGCACAAGTTTTCCCTGCATCAAAGATTGCCAAATCCAAAGACACGCTCACCTTCTTTTTAAGGGGCAGTCCTGAACCAGACCTCAGGAAAGGCCCACCTCTGCTTTCCCACCTGCTCAAAGGATGTTTTCCGAGCCCCCCCCAATTTATAAAGGGGGGAAGGGATGCCCCAACCTTACTCAATTGTATTAATGCCTCTTCTGTCGTTCTGAACCCAAATCAAGTCCTAGAATCTGCTGTTTTTGCAGCTCCAGCCGGAGACGCCCAATCCTTTCCCGGCCTCCTCCTCCTCCTCCCAACTCCAAGAAATGCTGTTCTCCTTCCCCCCACCACCACCATTCTGAGATGCTGTTCTACCGCCACTCCCTCCCTTTCCCTTACCAGAACATACTCCAGCCGTCCAAAAATCTTCATGATGCCCCTTTTGTGCCGTGTGGCTGGGCTCCACCAAGCGTAGAAGCCGTCACATTCCCAGCAGGTAATTCTACATGGCGTTACTAAGTGAGGAGGGGGTTTTCTCCTGCCTCCTGCTCCGTCCACCCACCCTCAGCACACAAGCTGCGTGGGCTGAAAATCTTTCTTATGTTGCTGCTATTATTGTTATTATTATTTTGTGGTTAATCTTTGGTGAGACTCACAGCCTTTGGGGCTGTTTGGTAGCTCAACAGCTTGAATCCTAACCAAGGACCTAGGAACTGTTAAGGTAACGTTGAAGGATATAAGCTGTTCCAAGTAGGGTGGTTTTTTATAGAGTCAGAATGTTCAAGTCTGATAAATTTAAAATTTCCAAATAGCGAGGTGGTATTATTATTATTATTATCACAAAAACAGAACTGTATCACAGCGGCCAGTTGTTTCGCCGGATTTGGCATTGATTACTAGTCGGGCCCCACCCAGGGGCCTAGGACGTCGTAACGTATTTTCGTAATNGAGTCAACCTTGAGCCGGTGAGAATCGAACTGCCAAATTGTAGGCAGCCGGCAGTCAGCAGAAGGAGCCTGCAGTACTGCACTCTAACCATTGCACCACCAAGACTGGCTTGCTTGCTTGCTTCGTTCCTCCCTCCCTTCCTCCCTTCTCTTCATCTTCCTTCCTTCCCTTCACCTTCCTTCTTTCATTCCTTCCTTCCCCTTTGAAGTCTTACATTATACAGTCCCCAACCCCTGGTCCGTGGAGCAATATCGGGCCGCAGCATGCCAGAAACTGGTCCGTGCAAACAAGCAAAGCCCTATTCCGTGGGGTGGGGGCAGCACACGAAACCACGCCCCCTCCGGTCCACGGAAAAAAACCTCTCTCCACGGAACTGGTCCCTGAGTCCCCAAAAGGTTTGTGGGCCGCTACATCATAGAGCCTGTTTATAATTCCTCATTTAATATTTTACGCGAGTGTTTTCATACAACAGAAAAGTAATTGCTCGCTCCATTGTGCCGTTCTTGTTTTTATTTCCCCTTTGGCTTTAATAAAGGCGGCCGAGAAAAATAAGGGGAGGAAGACTGCAGACACGAAGATATGTCCACATGTCGTTCCGCCCTGATGACACAGATACAGAGTGACAGCCCGAAAGCCACCCCAGTCAAGGTTTATGCCCAGCCTGTGAGAAGCCTCATCAACGACAGTGACGGCCGGAGCCCATCTCTGTGGCTGCTACCATGCGCACAAGTCACAGGTAGAGCGACGCGGCGTAACTGAGCTTTTCTGAAAATTTATCCATCCAGATCTAGAGCAGTCGGCTGCTGGTATTGTGAATTTTTAAAATCCCTTTTCTCGTTCCAATTTGAACCAAATTGCAAAGCAAACCCGATTTGATTCGTGGGTTTAAAAACCCACAGGCCCATCCTGGCAAAATGTCCAAATTGCTTTAAAGTGCTCTGTTTAATTCGATTTGGGGTGGTTTTTTTTATCATGGAAACTGACACATTGGCTGCTTCCTCCGTTTCCCCATCTTGACTGGCAAGAATGCCCATCAGAGCCATTATCTGAAAGCACCAGGGGGCTGTCTTTTAACTCCTCCCACCACCCAAATGCAACATAAGGTAAGGGTAAAAATTCCCCTCACATATATGTGCTAATCGTTCCCGACTCTAGGGAGCATCTCTGTTTCAAAGCCGAAGAGCCAGCGCTGTCCGAAGACGTCTCCGTGGCATGACTCAACGTCCTGTCCCCTTCCCACCAAAGGTGGTTCCTATTTTTCTATCCATGGATAGATGGATGGATGGATTGGATTGGATAAGTTAGTTAGATAGATAGATGGATGGATGGATGGATGGATNAAAAAAAAAAAAAAAAACCTTTCAGTATGACTCTCTATCAATAATAATGTTGATCTAATTAAATGTGGGTTTATTTCAATAAATCCCAGAGAAGCCACGAACCACCCAGATGTGCACATTGGAGAGCCAGCAGAGGGCTTGGTGGTTCATTTTAAGCCACTCTATGTGGCTTCTTTGGTTTGGCTTATTTTTGTTTTGACGTCTTAAGATGCCTTGTCCTACTTTAAAAACAGCGCCTGAAAAAGCAAACCGTCTATAAATAAACTGAGAGCAAGTAAACAAATATATATATATACGTTTAGGGTCCATGTGTTGAGTGGATCCAGCCATCCCACACTTCAAAACCACAATGTACGGCCCTGCCTAATGTGGTTACGCAAACCAAATGTGATTTATTCTCGAAACCATGGCTTAAAGGAATATGGAAACTCTGCTCAGTGTATGCTGTTTAAACACAGATCTCCCTCCCTCCCTCTCTCTCTCTCCCTTCCCCTCTCTCTCCCTCCTCCCTCCCTCTCTCTCTCCCTCCCTCTCCCCCTCTCTCCCTTCCCACTCCCTCTCTCTCCCTCCCCCTCTGCCTCTCTCTCCCTCCCTCTGCTGGTCTTCTGCTGACCTTCTCCTGGTGAGAGATCGCAAAAGGGGATCACATGACCCCCGTGGGACACAGCCACCATCATAAATACGAACCAATTGCCGAGTGTCCAAATTCTGCTCACAAGACCATGGGGGAATGCCACAATGGTCGTAAGTGTGAAAATCAGTCCTAAGCAGGAGTGAAATGGTACTAATTCGGACCAGTTCGCCCGAACCGGTAATAAAAATGCTATCGGTTCACCCAAACTGGTAGGAAAAAAAATGCTACCGTTTCAGTCGAACTGGTATTTTCAGTGATCAGCTGTGATGCACGATTTATATTATCGTATTTTTTCAGACTATAAGACACACCGGAGTATAAGACGCACCATGATATTGAAGAGGTTAATTTTTTTAAAAAAGGTTTTGCACTCTGCAGGCCTCCCAAACCCTCTGCACGTCTTGTTCTTTGTAAAAAAAAAACAGGGGGGGGGGGGACTTGCAGAGCTTTGGGAGGCTTGTAGAGTACACCCGAGGGCTGGGGAGGGGGGCAAAATGGCCCGTTTTTTGCTCTTTCTTCCCTCCCCAGCCCTCTGCACATCCATTTTGCAAAGGGGGCGGGGTTTCGGTAGGCCAAAAATGCTGTATTCAGTGTATAAGACGCACCCAGATTTTCANGCTGGCTGGGGAATTCTGGGAGTTGAAGTCCGGACATCTTCAAGTTGCCAAGGTTGAGAAACACTGGGATAGACAGACGGACGCACAAGGAAGGAGAAATTCTTCTTCTCTTCCATAGCTCCAGATATCTGAACTGGCTACTTTAGCTTTCATCGAATGCTAGAGTTATCCCAAGTAATTCGTTCTCCTCCCCCCCAAAAAATCTGACCGCGTATCTCACAAAAATTTCCTTCCCTGTTTAACCTCCATCTTCTCTTCTCCACCCTCCGCCTCTTTTCAAGGCTGCTGTTGACACTATGGAACAAACGACACAAGGATTTTCTATCCCCCTCTTCTTCTTCTAAGGAACCCGTAACTTACTTGGTGGGAGAGACCACTTCAAAGCAAAACCTCCGTTCTATGTCCTCGCAAGGCTTGACTGTGCAGAGTCGGAGGTCTTCCACCACCACTGTGAGTACATCCTAGAAGGGGAAAAGACATCGGTGTTAAGGCTCCCTGCAACTGGATCCCCCGTGGCTAAAGAGCGGTAGACAAATGAGGGTCCATTTATAGAAATATTTTTTTGTAATAGCTCCTGTGTAAAGTTTCCTAACGGTGCCGTACCTGATTCATAATAAGCGAGCCAATGTCTTAAATACAAAAACCAGTGATTTATTAACAGCTTCATTAGGCATTCTTCATTAGGCAATATTTATTCGCAGCCATTACTTTGCTCTCTCTTTGACATTCTCTGAGTCAAAACATGCATGGCCCCTATCTCTCCCCCTCCTAGATACAATAAGAGTTTTTAAGTCTTGTGAATCATTGCACCAATCAGTTCAGTTATGGTTAGGACAAGGATCGGCAACCTGCGGCTCTGGAGCCGCATGTGGCTCCTTCATCCCTCTGCTGCGGCTCCCTGTCGCCAGTTGGGACCACAATTTTGAGAGCAGCTTCTGATTTGGGGAAGGGGGGAGAGCATGGTGCACCAGGAGGAGACTCTATGGTGGGGGGACTGGACTTCCAGTCGGGAGCATCACGCACCAGGAGGAGACTCTATGGTGGGGGGACCAGACTTCCGGTTGGGGAGCATGATGCACCAGGAGGAAACTCTATGGTGAGGGGACCAGACTTCCGGTTGGGAGCATGGCGCACCAGGAGGAGACTCTATGGTGGAGGAACCAGACTTCCAGTCGGGAGCATCACGCACCAGGAGGAGACTCTATGGTGGGGGGACCGGACTTCCGGTTTGGGAGCATGGCGCACCAGGAGGAGACTCTATGGTGGGGGAACCAGACTTCTGGTCGGCTCCAGAATTGAACAGGGACCTTCCAGTTAGGACCTTTGTGGCACTTTGAGTGTTTAAGGTTGCCAACCCCTGGGTTAAGGTTAGGGCTAGTAAGAAAACTAACCTTTAGCTTCTTCTGGTACACCAGCTGGCTATTTTGTATGGAGAACCACCTCCTGCAAAGAGAAACAAAGGATGGGATAAAAACAGCTTGAAAGAGGATGGACAGCACTCTCTTGCCTTTCAGAATAAATGGAGACTTGGAGAAGATTCTGAAAATGACAACTAAAAGGCTTTTATTAGAAGCAGCTGCAGTACAGTGTTGGCTTTGACAAATGTTTGTCACATATATTTAGCCTGGCCTTTTACAACCTGGTGTAATGGTAGGTGGAGGACAGGAAGGCCACAATAGTCAGATGAGCCAGCAGAAAGAATCTCAGAAGGCACCCTCCCTAGTTTCTTCAACTGTAAAGGGAGTGGGGGGAGAGAGATATATACTTTCGGACTTGCAAAATTATGTAAGATAAAAGTAAAGGTTCCCCTTGCACATACTGTATGTGCTAGTTGTTCCCAACTCTAGAGGGCAGTGCTCATCTCCGTTTCAAAGCCGAAGAGCCAGCGCTGTCCAAAGACGTCTCCATCGTCATGTGGCCAGCATGACTCAATGCCGAAGGCACACGGAACGCTGTTCCCTTGGTGGGGAAGGTGGTCCCTATTTTTCTACTTGCATTTTTTAACCTGCTTTCGAACTGCTAGGTTGGCAGAAGCTGGGGCAAGTAACAGGTACACACTCCATTATGCGGTGCTAAGGATTCGAACTGCCGAACGGCCGACCTTTCTGATCGACAAGCTCAGTGTCTTAGCCACTGAGCCACCACATCCCTAATTCTGTTAATATACCCTTAAGTCAGAGCAAGTATTTCTGGATTTGCTTCCTGTCTGAATGTTTACAAACGATGAGGTGGCAATTTCTAGAACTCCCAGCACCCATCTGAAGAGGAAGTGAAGTGGACTAGCCTGTATTTTGACTTGGTTCTTCCCATCCCCCCCAAACCGTCCACCATGCATCAATTTTTCGGTGGGGGGCTCCTCCCAATAACTTACCGATTCCAGGTCTTGAACGCATTGCTGGCTCTCTTGAAGAGGTACCCTTCCATCACTACTCCGTTGGGCGCATCGACGTTGAATTCCACTTTGGATTCATCGTAAGAGAAATCCTGAAGGACAGGGGCGAAGGGAAAGAAAACATGAGCTTGGGTACAACAAATTCTAAATATCTTTCTTGTCAGGTAATGAGGATTTAATAGCTGCCTGCTGATGTAAGGTTGTAAACTGTAAGCTGATGCAATGCGGATGATTCAGCTGTGGTATAACCAGTTTAAGTCTCTGATGGGGTCCATACAACTCTTTTATCATTTCAGGAGGTGTCTATATATAGGGGCCATTAGAGGGAGTCTCTCTCTCTCTCTCTCTCTCTCTCTCTCTCTCTCTCTC